CTTAAACCCCTTACGGCATGGTGTCCATGGATGCCGCATAAGGTCAAAGTGTTTAGATGGTATTGAAAAAGCTGGAAACTAAAGACCATCCAAGGAGCTTTGATTTCCAGCCTCAGAAGCTTAATGGAAGGCCAACTATGAGTCATCTCTAACTCTAAGGTGATATGTTGAGTTGAGAGCACATCTAGAGTAGCTTTGAAACAAAGACCTGGAAATCCATTTTGGAAAAACCAGTTTTAAAAAATCTTATGGAGCAGTCATATCGACATACACAGGGATTGCCATGAATTAGTCAATATAACAGCAACTAGTATCTATCTTCTGTAATCTGGGTTGATGGTCATCACTTCCAGATAGTCCATCATATGATTAGTAACATTTTACAGAATCACCACCCCACCTTTAGGATGTTGTTGTTACAGTGCCTTCGCATGGGAGCTGAATTAGACTTGACCCTCAAGTGGGATTTTTCAGAAGCTATAAATCTCACAGCAGATTGCCCATCTTTCTTTCTTGGAGCAGCGGGTAGATTCAAATAGCCAAGAGCAGCTCCTTACCTGCTAGGCCACTAGAGCTCTCTACCTAAGCCTGGTAATATGTTGATCCTCTAATACTCTTCTTTTTTATGTGTCCGGCTAACCTTGTACTCTTTACTCAGATGTCGTCAACACAAGGAAGCCATCAGAGCTACCACTTACCCTTCACTCTGTCCAAACACTTCAGAATAAGGATTAGCAGCCATTTCATGTATTTTCATGCCATTTCATGCCACATCATAAAACTCAAAATGCTCTCAGCGATTAATTCCTTCCTTGTTCGTTTTCTTGAAGAAATTATTAGCAGAGAAATTATTTTTTCAGTGTCTGAATCCTACCTCGCCTGCCTATTAGAAATATATTGAATATTCGAACAAATCTTTAGCTTAAAGACCACTGCGAAGGACTACCTTTCTTTATCATTTTCCAGTTGTATTACTGAGAGAAGACTGTCTCTCACTCTTCTCGCATGAATATTCTTTTCTCTCAGTTAAGACAATGGCATGATTGTTGAAAGGACTCAATTTTAAAATGGTTTATGACCATGAATAACCAAACAAAACCTACTGCATTGCATGTACGTCACAGTGATCCTACAGATAAAGTAGAACTGCCCTAAACATTTACCAAGACTTTATATTTTTATTTTCTGGCTGCCATATTTTTTCTTCTACAGAGTGCTGATGAATATGACCCATGGACCTTTTGGTTAGCAGATAGACTCTAACCATTTTGCCACTAGCCACTCACCAGTTGCTTCTTGGAAAAAACCATAGGCAGTCTCTTCACCTAAAAATTTATCGCCATGGCATTAATTGAGGGTCACCATGAGTTAGAACCTACCCAGGGGCAGTGGGTGAGTAGACTGCAGGTCAATTACTTATGAAGTGTTTATTTTTACTATGTTCATGATTTGAACTCAAATATGTAATTAAGTCAGCTAGTCAGGAAGTAAATAAGAAAAATCACCTCAAAAGAAATAAATAAAAGTCATCTCTCTCAACCAGGCTTCCTGTCTTCCTCTGGTGCCTTCTGTAGTCAGAACTCAAAAAGAAGCAAGCTGGCAAAGGAGAAATTATGACTGGCTGTGTCCCTACTTCAGCAACATAAGGCAGAACATAAAAGAAGTTTTAAAGCAGAAAGAGAATTGCCTATTAACTGGCACATAGGTAGGTAATCAATGAGAGCAAATGAAGCTTTTATAGTGCATGATCTATAAGCTGGGATGTGAAATACTTTTCCATTTTGTTATCAAACAGGTGAGGCATTTGTTTCTAAGGAAGAACAAATGTTCTACCAAATGAGTTGCAGCATTTTCCTTCAATAAACTATTTTAAAATAAAAGAGGAAGCCAGGAACAAGGAAAGGATTCTGAAAAGTGAAATGGAATCCTGGGGAGATCAGATTTCTACTGTTTGAAGGCACCAGTGGTGTGAATTTTAGCCTGAGTGCCATTTCAAAATGGAAATGACTTCCGTGCCAGTAAACTGGCTGGCGCTAAATTTCTCTAATTAGAGCAAGGGCAGAGATCTGAGTACAGTACTAACAGTGAAGTGTGTTAGTCTGTGAGATGGATTCCTACCACAATTCTGCTGACTCCCAGACATAAGTTCTCCAAGGTAGTGTCTGCTAGTAAACAGAGGTGAAACATATCTTCACACATTACTTTCATGGCTGCAAAACAAGTAATTTCGGAGAAGACATCTGGACACGAAATTTGAAGTGCTCACAGCTCATCAAAATAGAGGTTTGATGGGTTGGCGTCTGGCTGCTTAGCAACGTACTTCTTACTTTCAAAACAGAGTTGTAAAAGTAGAATGCTGGCGCCAACTCCGGGTATTTCTCATTGAAAAAGAAACAGTCTTGAAATTTTTTTCATTAGGTCCTAAGACATTTGATTTTCATATGATAATGGAAAAAACACAGACCAATTCTCTTCTAGAATCCTGACTCTCACATTCTGAAATATAAAACAGAGATTAACTTTGCATTTTGAGGTATCCTCAAGTGAATGCTGTACAAGGATCCTGGGATATTTTCCTTCACTCCTTAAATATTAAAACCCTTTCAAATTAGGTGCATACAGTCACAGTACATGTGCATTTCAAATACTTGGTTCTTATCAAGCTAGATGTATACAGCAGAAGGCCAACAGCAAACTAAAAGAGATTTAATTTATTAAAGGTATGCTTCTGCTTGGCAAAGAGGTAAGAGGGACAAGTGTAAAATGTTTTTCCATTGTAGACAACTTGAAATATATATATATATATATACAATGAACATTAAAATGTCATTAATTTATTTTCCTTTGCTTTTCAAAAAGAAATCTATTAAAAATATGCTGATATGCTTCTGAACTTGGAAAAAAGGAAATATGAAATACCCAAAGAAAAATGAAATCCAGAAAAAACAGGAGACAGATAATTTAGAATCACTGACTATTTTCCTTTTTTTAAAAAAAATGGGAAGCAATTAAGAAAATTATGGGGCTGGGATTAAGGAGTAATGGGTCTTCTAGGAACTCATATTTATGGATTATGTCTTTGTATTCAAATACGACAGGGGACTATTGAAATGGCCTACTATTTGGAGCAATATGCCTACAATTTTTCTGTTGTTGTTTTTTTCTATCCTTCTTTAGGGAACCTCTTTCCACAAACTCTGCTAAGCATCTTTCTTGGCAGACTCATAAGTAGCAAGGCAAGGAAATCCAAGCATGGAAAATTGCTTCAAAAAGGGGAAAGACTTGGAAAGCAAGTAAGAAATGGATAGTTTTATAAGAGAACCTCATTTCAAACAGGAGTTTACAAAAAGAATGTTCTACCATTTCAAAGACCAATGTTGTCCAGAGAAATGGAAGGGTGGTTTCCAAAAGGTCACTTAGTTACAGGAATGACTTTCCATTGTGCACAGAGCCTCTGCTGCCTGGTCCTCCTAAACTGTTGCCCTCTGCTGTCTTTATTTATATGTGGTTCACATTTCTGTACACTCCATAAGCCACAAGGGTTTCTCTATTCAAAAGATACCAACACTTTGCTTCATACTAGGAGTGCTGTAGTAAAAACAGAAGAACTGAGTAGTAAACTTGTGCAATTCTGAAGGCTCCTGCAATCCATCACTTAATTTCCCATTGGAACCGTTTTTACAAAATATTTCAAAGTTTGAAATTCTCCATCTTTCCTGGATGCATCTCAAACACTTTAAGAATGTGCACTAAAAGAGCAATACTTACCAGCACTGGAAAGGCATGTGGCTAAGACTGCCAGTCAGCAGCGTTGTGTGTGAAAACTGAAGTTCACAACTATGATCAAGCCAGACTCAAAACCAGCCCAGAACTCTTGTGTCTGAATGTCACACGTACATGGTGGTCTAATGATTGTATAAATAAATATTGTGTTCCCAGAGTCTCTGGGCCTATAAAGATCAATTTCATCCTTCCGATTACCATCTTCCTTAAAAAGGGAAAATTCTTGGGAAAACATTCCTTCCTTATGTATTGAGTCTCTGCCCAGACTCTTCCGCACTTATGTTTAGAAACCCAGTCATCCAAAAACCAAATATGTGCTGCTACTGTGGTTGATGAGATGCCTGTGGTGCACTGGTTGACTAGGCAAAGGAGTTGCTAAGGAACTTGTTTGTTCCCTCAGTTCATTAGGTTTCTAAACTTTCTTTGCCATCCCATAACCATTCCTTCCCAGGAACTGAGGTCCCAGCAAGGTGGACCTATAAGAACTCCAGTAGGAAGCCAGATTGAGAAATGAGGCATTTTGAAATTCTTTCCTTCACTTGTGTTGCAAAAGCATGAAATTAATAAATCATGGACATTATACAAAGAAAGGGAGCTCTGTTGGCCTAGTGGCAAGAAGCTGCACTGCAATCCTGAAGTCAAGCAGTTCAAGTTCACCAGCTAGCTGCTCCGTGGGAGAAAGATGGGCTTTCTCATCCTGGAATAACAGCCTCTGAGAGTCAGCTACTGTCGGCTCCAACTCGATGTTACACAACATACAAAGAATTCTAGTCATGGAATCAAAGGGACTACAATGGTTAAGTCATCAACCCATTGTATTAAGTGTTACAATTTTATGTATTTTGGTGCATTGTAGTTTACCCATAATTCCAATGATCATTTTACTTCCTTTATCTCTCCATTTAATCAGGTACATTTCCCCAAGTATTCTGATCCATTCTTTTCATGCTCATACACCTATCCTACCGCACTGTAGAGTGGTTGACAGTTACTTTATGGATTCTCTGATTTTTGCCTAAGCAGATCTATCTTTCCAGACAAGTAATTGCTGCTGGGGCTATCCATCCCCAAGGAATTCACAGAGAAGGAGGGTTGCTAAGTTTGCTGCAAAAAAGCAGTTAAGCAAACCCTTAGTGACAGCCAATTTATGGAAAATGACAATCAGCAAAAGTGTTCCTTCCACCTGCCCCCTAACGACATACTCAGACTGTACCTACCTCTCGAGTAAACAGGATGGCGGCGTCATAGTGTTCTTCGTGGTCGTCCCCTAGTTGATTGTGCTGATGTTGCCACTTGCAAAAGTTCTTGAGTGTGGTTGCCGCGTTCTTGCTCACCTCCAGAGTCTTGTCCTTGTCGCCCAGCACCACTACCTTCACCACGGCCAGTCGGATGTGGTTCTCTATGCTGGCGTGGCTGTACAGGCGGTTGGCGATGGAGGCCAGGGTCAGCAGGTAATGCTGCAGTCCCCGACCATACATCTTCACCATGGACATATCAGCCACCAGGAGCAGCTCCACCTGGCGGGCCCGCGAGATGGAGCGGCGCCTTCGCCGCCACCACGTCTGCGGTCCGGAGACCCCAGTGGGTGAGGGCTCCTTGGCCTCATCCGGGATGTTCATGTTCCGGAAAAGCGAAACTTGCCTGCCCGAGTTGTTCAGGGCGGGGCTGCTGCGCTCGCGGGGTCCAGGAGGAGACCCCCTGGTCTCACAACTAGCACGTGGAGGCAGGGCCTCGAAGCTGAAGCCCTCTCGCGTGTAGACGTGCAAGATCCGCGCAGACTCATCCCCATACACACGATCCTTCTCCGCTTCGGCCCAGGGCCCGCGCAGTAAAGGCTTCAGTGTGTAGCGAGCATGCTTGACCGCGAAGAAGCCGTCCAGACCCCCGCAGAGGTCAAAGACAGCCAGTGAGCGAGGACTGCCGTCCACTGTGCCGCGGTAGTAGCAGTGGCCCCGGTGGCGCCGGGATGCGCTCAGCTTGCCTCCTGTGGGCACGAGGCCAACGGTGCCCACCGCACCATCCTGCTCCAGGTCGAGGAGAAACCTCCGGCCTCCCGCGTAGACGAGGTAGCCCACCTTGCCGCCGCCGGAGTAGAGCTGGTCAATGTTGTGCACGAGGCCGCTGCTCCTGCGCTGCGGCGCCAGGGGGTGCGGGTGACCGGGAAGCCCGGCCCGCTCCTGCGCTTCCTCCTCCCGCCGCCGGTGGGGCAGGGCGGCAGTTGCAGCAGCCGGAGGCAGCAGAGCTTTATCCTGGGCAGGTGCCTCAGTGAGGCCGGCCCCGGCTGGGGGCAGGCGGAGCACACACAGCAGCAGGGACGCCCACCCGAGGAGCATAGTGCGCTGCCCGCTGGGAGGGGCTGCGCGCGACGGAGACTTTATGAGTATTTGTTATTCCTTATGGAAGTTACCGGGGACAGGAGGGGGGATACACACACACACTTGCTTGCAAGGTTGAGTCAAGTGTCGGAAAGGGGGAGGGCCCCCCAGGCAGCAGCGCGAGCCTTTTCGGGCCGCGTTGTCAGCGTGCGAACTTTTTCTTTGTTGGTTTGGAAAATGTTTGGATTCCAGCCCCGGAAAGAGGACTAAGAAAGTAAAAAGGAAAAAGAGCCGGGTGGAGGAGAATCAGCAAATAAGATAAAGGAGGAAAACCCCCAATTCCGACCCCAAACACAACCACGATTGCTGCACCAAGAAAAGTAAGAAAGGCGCAGCGCACCCGGCCGGCAACTGGTGCGCACTGCCTCCCACCCCTTCGCTCTTCCGTACCGGCCGGCTGCAGGGGTTCAAGCTCCGGCACTCACTTCCTTTCTTATTTTGTGGGCTTCCTTGGCTCCGCTGGAACCAGGAGTAAGGGGGAAAAGAGAAGGGGGAAAAGCCATAAAATTTAAAACAAAAAGGCGGGGGTGGCCTGTAGCAAGCCGGTCAGGCGGAGCGGCTGTTTTGCTTCTTCAGATGCAGTGTCTTCCTGCTCGTGGTCATCCCCAGTCAGCCGCTGCGAGCGCAGAGAGCAGCGCGAGCGCTGTGAAGATGCGAGGAGGTGGAACAATGAATTTATAGCGGCATGCCATCCTGCAATGGCAATTTCAACAATTCGTCACTGCACGCTGCCTCTTAAAGGGAGAGCTTCCCCCACCACTCCCACCCTTCCCGGTCCGCGCCTAATCTGATGGGGGAGGGCGGGTTGGGGGGGAGTGTTCGAGGAAAGGGAGGCTGAGAAGGAGGAAGCTACACAGCGAGGTGGAAGGAGGGATCAGAGGAAAGCAGGGGCGGAGGGGGTAACTGGGTAAACAAAAAACAGAAGATTTCCTTGGCCTCTTTTAAAGCCACAGCGGCTCCGGTTCTGTCTGATATTTCACAACCAATCAAGTTGGCTAACACCGGTTTACCTCATCTCCTGAAGGGGTGTTTTGGTGTGCTTTTAAAGTTATTGGGACATTTCAAGTCTCTCCCTGCCTCCTCTGGCGTTCCTAAGTTTCAGTAGGAACTTCCTGCTGCAAGTTTTTCCCATTGGCATGCTGGTGCTCCCAGGCCTCGCAAACCTTGGAACTCCATCCACCAGGATGGGCTTTTCAACTTGAGTGTGTCCCTTGGCCCTGGCGCTCCTTTGTCCTCTCCTAACTTTTCCAGTACCAAGTACCCTGCATTCCCTGGCTTCTGGTGCTTGCCGGCTTTGGGCTGTTGGTGACTAACTTTTCCCGGCCACCAGCAGAGGGGCTGGGCAGCCCCGGACCGCGGGCACTTCCTGACGCGTCGCGTCCTAGCCCTGCAGTGCCACCGGACTGGGTAGCCCGCGGCCTGGGAAATCCGCGCCTTTGTGTGCGAAGAGTGTGCTACTCATCAGTGCCCACAATCTGTCACTTAATCCCAGTGGACTGGAACTTCCGCTGCTTTGAAAAGGCAGAACAGAAGAGAATTAAACCTTGAACTGATTTGCCTTCAAATTTTTCTTTTCAAAAGATTTCAAATCTCCTTTCTTTTCCCTTCTGCTTAAACGCCCTTTATTTGTGTTTGTCTCTCCTAAAATAACCAATCATTGCTCAAGGTTCTGACCTACTACTTGTTGTTTTTGTTGTTGTTGTTGTTGTTATGTGCCATGAAGTCACCTGCAACTCATAGTGACCCTATGTACAATATCCCTGAAACCTGTTCTATCCTGTGCCAATCTTATTGTCTCTGTCACACCAACCCCCATTACACTGTCACTGAATCAATCCACCTCATCATCGAAGGTCTTCCTCTTTTGCACTGCCCTTCAAACCTCCCAAGCATGACAACCCCTCTCCATTCTAAAACATTCCTTTGAAGAGGAAAAAAAGAGCACTTGGGGGGCAATTCTGGGTGAGATTGGTGCTAATTAGTGTTCAGGTGGCATTGTCACTATTAGACAGTTTCTCCAATTTTTTTGTTTCTTCTTATGAACTTGAAGAAAGAACAAAGGAAAATTCACTATCTAATCATGGGCTGACAGTGGTTAGAAGGTTTACTGTACTGCAAGAGTGCCCCTTTGACCCACCCATCATTATTCTTTGGACAAGTTAATAATTGCATAGTGAGACAGTGAATCCCATATGATTAGTACGTTTCTGTTCTTTTCTACATTTATTTAACTTGCAGTGATGCAGAGGATGGCAGGGGCATCCCAGTGGCTAAGGAAATCTAATCTCTTTCTCAATGAGAAACAGGATTTTTCCCAACCTAGCTTAAGGTTCTTCAGTGGTGTCAAACCTCTGAAGGGAATATCAGAATTGTCCAGGAGCCATTTGAAAGGCAAAGAGAATGACTAAATGTTTCACTTAGAAAGTAAATTATGTTAAAACAACTATGAGATATCATCTCACCCCAGTCAAAATAGCAAAATTTAACAGAACAGCAAGCAACAAATGCTGGCGAGGTTGTGGAGAAACTGGAACCCTGGTTCACTGTTGATGGGAGTGTAAAATGGTGCAACCCCTGTGGAAAGCAGTATGGCGCTTTCTCAAAAAGTTGCAAATAGAGATACCATTTGACCCAGCAATTCCACTACTGGGAATATACCCTGAAGAGACCATAGCTGACATCCAAGCAGATATATGCACACCCATGTTTATTGCATCTTTGTTCACAATAGCAAGGAGTTGGAAACAACCTAAGTGCCCATCAACAAACGAATGGCTAGAGATGCTGTGGTATATTCGCACAATGGAATACTATGCTGCATTAAAAAACAAGGAACTCATACAATATTATTCAAAATGGTTGACTCTGGAGAACATTATGCTGAGTGAAATATCCCAGTCACAAAAGGACAAATATTACATGATGCCACTGTTGTAGAATGGGACTGTCCTTGGGGTTGGGGAGAGACTGAGTAAGATGGGTTCAATAATGTATACTGCACTGAAACAGAGGAGGGAGAAAACTGTTTAAAAGGATATATAACTAGGTATTTCTGTCATCACAGCAGACTAGAGCGAGGGCTACATGGTGGAGGGGACCTGGGGGAGGGTTTGTAAAACAATGAAAGAATCTTTTCTTTTACTTTTCCATAATTTTTGACTCATGTACTTATAACTTTTTAGTCAAATTTGTGTCTTCTAGGTTGCAACACCCCCATGATACATCTTCAAGGATATGAACATGTACGGCCAAACACAATAAGAGTGCATCTAAATTCCAAAATCAGTCTCCATAATAGTCTATGTGTTTCCTACTGCCAAAGGGGCCCTTTATAGTAGTGAGAGAAGAGCTTCACCCTGAAACCCACAGCATCCCTTTTCAGCAGGAAGTAGCTAAGAGAATACGCGATCCCCTTTTCCTTATGAATCAGGGTGAAGTCTCTCTTAGGGAGGAGTGATAGGGAATGGCAAAGGACACACCGACAAAAGAGATTAATCAGAACTGACTTTGACAAGCACTGTGGCAATTGGACAATTAAAACAGACATTTGGATGGCGGGGAAGAAGAACAAACTGGGGAGGAGGGGGGAGAGAATGGTGCGGCAATGAAGGAGTGAAAGCCCAGAATCCCTGTGAATGTTCATTGAAACTAATAAAATTTAATAATAATAAAAAAAAGAAAGTAAATTATGTTTGGGGTCTTCCGAACATTCACCAGTCCCTGGTGTTTTCAAAGTACCTGCAAATCTAAGAGGAAATTGCTTTCAATGAGAGTCACACTGCCTTTCTACTTTTAGTGGAAGTCAATACTACCAGCTAAGTACTTTGGGGAAGCAGAGAGATTAAAGATTAGCAGATAAAGAAAAGAGGCAATCTCCTCCCAGGTGAGATTTATAACTTCTGCAAATCCACCGGAAGGTCAGCTATGAGTTTATTCCAAGTTAGCTGCAATGAGTTGTCTGGAGAGATACAGGAGAATAAAGATGACAGAAGAAGAATTGATGTCTTTATGTTGTGGTGCAGAGAAGAGTTTTTAATATAACGGGGACTGTCAAGTGAACAAATTGATCTGTCCTGGAGAAGGTGAAACCAGTTTGCTTGGGTGGATAGAAGGTTAGTGCAGAAGAAGACCCTGGAGGAGATGAGTTGACACAGTGACTAAGACAATGGGGTCAGCAGTGTCAGAGGTGGTGAGAGTAACTTAGGATAGGGCAAGGTTTAGAGCCATTGTTTATACAGTCGCTGTGGGTTGGAGTCAACTGGATGGCACATTGCAAAAAGTTCCAGTGGCCATCTTTATCCTCCCCAAGAACTGTCAGGACTGATGCTACTCATCCGCTTTTCAGTGATCATTGTCTTATCGCTGTAGACAATAATTTTATTAAACAGTTCCAGTGAATAACACTTCAATGTTTTGCCCTAAATACTGTCTCTAAAACATCCTTTGTTTTATTGTTTCATTCCAAAAACTTGGAATGTACCCAAAGCTTACCTTCCAGATGGTTTTCAGGGGCAGTAAACTACAGGAGATGAGATTGCCCACCTTTTTCCTTTGGACTGCCTTTACAGTGCAGCTTCTTACCACTAGATAACCAGAGCTCCCAAAACAACCTGTGTTGTTATGTGCCGTCTATTCGCCTGTGACTCATAGCGACCCTATATATACAACAGCCCTAAACCCTGCTCTATCCTGTGCCAATCTCACTGTCTCTGACATAACTACCCCCATTACCCCAGTCACTGAATCCATCCACTTCATAGAGGGTCTTTCTTTCCTGCACTGTCCCTCCACCCTCCCAATCATGACGTCCTTCTCCAAGGACTGGTCTCTCCTTACAACGTGTCCAAAGTATGTCAGATGAAGCCTCAGAATCTTTGCCTCCAAGGATCTGTCTGGTTTAACCATCTCCAGGATGAACCTGTTTGTTTCCTTAGCAGTTCATGTTATATTTAACACTC